TGGAGCACGCTTTAAGTATTGCAAGATGCGACATACAACCACGAAATGGGGTTGGCGGGGAGCATGCATAAACTGACTGACCACACCCACAGCACAGGTAATATCTGGACGAGTGACAGTGAGATGTATTAACTTGCCAACCAACCGACGATAACGACCAATATCAGGAAAGAAGTCGTCAGTGTCACCAGCAAGCTTGACACTAGAATCCATTTTTAAATATATAAATATATATATATATATATATTTAATATTTTCAAATGTTTTGCACATTAAAAAAAAAAAGAAATCGAATGTAATAATACACACAATACTACAAAATTCACATTATTTCTTTACATCACAAATCTACCCATGGCCAACATGATTTTGCCACTTAGCAGTAGCAATTGTATCCCTGAAGTTCGATTGGTACGTTAACCCATGTTGTGATATGTCAACATAGTCACTTAGTCTCCAACAAACCCGTCTCCTGCCGCTTTTGCTGCCATTTCATTATCAGCTTCCATGAAGAATGGGTCCATAACTACATGCAAACGGATCCAATTGTACACTGTACAACATGCAATCACGAGGGGTCATTGTCTTGTGAACTTGTAATTTAGCATGGACCGCAATATTGGAAAGTGCTTCTTCAGAACACCAAATGTTCTTTCTATGACATTGCGTAACGACGAATGTCGATGGTTAAACAATTTGGGTCCAGAATAATGACAACCATGAAACTCTTGCAAGTGATAGTGTTGGGAACGAAATGGGGCAAGAAATCCAGACATGTTCGTGAAGCCGCATCCACTAAATAATACTTACCTACATGTAAATAATATAGGCAATGCTTTGTCAAATACATGTACACAAAAAATCAACATTTAAGACAGTACAATGTGTTATTTGGTGACACTCACCATGGGGTGGGTGTGAGAAATGTAGATCAGCTCTAGTAATTGAGTCAACTAAAATTGCATTGTCGTGGATGCTACTTTCCCATCCAGAATTGATAAATGTGAACAACATGTCGAAGTCGCAAACTACGAGTACATTTTGCTATACCGTAGCTTTGTGACCACGAAATGTATTCTTTCTTGAGGCAGGGACCTACGCATCCACCAATGTGTTATCGATAGCACCGATACAATTCTACTTAAAATATATTAGTTTGACATTAAACGCGAAACAAACCTAGATATTACTTTTAAAACATTAAAAAAATAATTAATTCGTTACTATTATTGAAAACTTACAGGATAAACATGTAGTTATACCTTGAACTAGGGAAAAAACATTTTATCATTTAAAATTTTTGCCAGTATCTCATCTTGGTTACATGGTTTGATAACCATTGATGCAAGCTTGCACAGCGCCTGTATAATGATTTTGATGTGCTGACAAATAGTTTCAGTGGAGTGTTGAAATCTATTGGCTAGTAGTCTATGCTGGTCATTTTGTGCGAAAGCGTACAAAAAAATGCTAAGCGATTCCTCAACATTGATATGCATATATTCAGTTTCGACAAAGTCATTTTGAAGTAAGGTGTCTATCAATAAAATGAATGTTTGGGCATCCATTCACATGATGCCCATCATTGTTTCTGGATAGCCATTTAATAAACTGAAGATGTAATCATCACCTTTGAATGGACAAGTTCACTGCGGTCGTCTATTGGTTGACGCATTCATATGCTCATTCATAAAAGCAATCATCAAAAAATCCATAAAATCTTCAATAATCTCATCCTCCTCTGATGATCTCTCCATTGCATTGTTTTCTGTGTTGGATGACATATTGCTTTAGCTACATCACAATAACGCATAATTATAAAAAAATGATTAACAACATGCTAACTGTTACCATTATTGGTGAAACTAAAATAAACCATTGGCTACAATTTGTCGGCCTTAGTCATTTATCGAACTAGATGGAAATATACATGCGAAGAAAAAACATATTAATATTGTTATATTATCATTACTATCTTTTCATATTGTATGTGGTGTGTAAAATTGAAAGTTGAAGCAGAAATAAGAAAACAAACATAAAAGAACGCAGAAGAATAAAATCACATCTAAATATAAAACAGAAACAGTTTCAGAAAAATATAGAAATAAACAGAGAAATACGGATAAAAAAGAGCATGTCATTGGGTGAAAAAAAAAATTAATAAAAACAAAATAGACATTATCAAATCATGTTGCACAACCATAAAGAGAACCACAAGCTCGATCAAGCCACAACTTCTCCCTTCACTGCAAAGCTAGGATCATAGCTAGGTGCATATGGGCAGGAGTACGCATAAAAAACCTCCGCCATTCCTTGTTTTTGAATAGTGTCAGTGCCCTAATGTACTGAACCGGTGGTATGTCCCTAAGCTCTAACAGGGCATCTTGACATGCATCAAGGACATAGTCATCACCACTGGTACTTACAGCCTTTGTGTCTGTTGATCGGGCACGGGAATGTTCTGTTTTTGTCTGTACGTAGGTAGTGAAAGTTGCGCAGACATTATCAAAGCCACTTGACTGTGATCTTTTAGAACAACCACTATCAGTCTGACTATTTGTAGGGCCCCTCTTGTGACTTTTGCCCTTCGATGGTTCTATGTACGCATCGCTGAATAAGTCAACAACAATAGGTTCAGCTGCATTACTCTCACCAGCTCCAGGCGACCAAAATTTATTAAGCATTTCATCCTCTTCATCAGAGTCAGGGGTTTCTTGTGTGGATGCACAGGCCAAGGCCCTTGTGGCACAACAGTTTTCAACAATTTCAGCCATTTCTTGAAAATACTAAAATCCTTTTGTCCTAAGTTTCTTATCATTTTTTGTTGCCTATAACAATTGAGAATATTAAAAATAAGTGTACTGTACGTGTAATTAAATGTTACAAAAAAAATTGAAAATGGTACATGTTAATTCAATACCTTATCTCAAAATTCATGGAGTGCAACAACCATTCCTACAATGGGATCCCATCCCAGACCGATCTGTGCTTGCAATCGCTTGAAGGTTTGGTAATCAACTTTCAGTCGCTGATATTTTTGTCTCACCTATTTTGGTATGTTTCGAAACCCATACAGATTTTGCAACTCAGTTGCAAAATGGTTCCAATGCCTAACTGTCCACACAGTACTACGACCTGTTGTTTGATTTTTTGTACCTCGTCTCTCAACATGTTTATTAGCTTCATTTCAATTTTGAAACTCCACATTTTGTGTCGTGATTATCATCAGAATTGTTGCCATCCATCTAACAACACACAATTTATATCTAAACAAATCTGAATTTGATTAAAAAATAACAATGCAAGAATCATCTACAATTATGTTTCGGTAGGAAAAAAAATTCATCAATTGAAGTTGTTAACAGTGTTGGGAAAAACAGAAACAACAAGAAAAAACAGAATATTGCTAGGAAAAAAAATTCATCAATTGAAGTTGTTAATAGTGTTGGGAAAAACAGATACAACAAGAAAATGCAGAATATTGCATGCAAAAAGTTGTGAAACAAGTGTACACAGTAGACAATAAGTAGAAATAAGCAGAAAGAGAGCAGAAGAAAAGAAGCATCAAAGGGGGTGAGTGGCGGTCGACCCAGAGGAGAGGGAGCTTAATTGGAGGTCGACCGGCCGAAAGACCGATGGGACGACTGGCCAGTTGTCTTGGCGGTTGACCGATTTGACAAATCAAAACCATTTATGCTTCTCAACTATTACATAGCAGATTGATTAAAGGATATACGACTAGCAGATCGATTGAAGGATATACATACCAGAGCAGTAGGAGTGGAATAGTTGTCACTGGTGACGGAGTGGGTACAGTGAGTGGATGTGCGCTTCTTCAATAGGTGTCTGATTCGAGAATATGCTTCACAAATTTGGCCTGACACGGATAAATTGGGAATGAATTTGGGGATGTTTGAGGAAATCAGTGAGTTGTAATTTAAAATTTGAGAGAAATTTGTGATTTATTTAACCTCGGTCTTGTCGTTGTTTCATTGCTCGAAGAGTGAATCTTCTACAATGCACAAACTGCAACTCACTTCATTTGTGGGAACTGGTGGATGAGATTTTATGGGTGGAGAGTGGGTTTACAGACATACTTTAGATTTGAAAGTCTCAGTTCACAAAGAGAAACATGACTCGTGAAGAATCTTGAGCTATGATCGTTCAAAGAGAGGAAGACGACTTGTGAAGTTCAGCTTTAAATTTCTTTTCACGTGAAGCTTTTTAGAAGTTCAACTTTAAATTTCTTACACGTGAAGCTTTTCAAAAATGGAGAATATCGAAGACACAGAGTAAGTACTATTGGAAGCTTTTCACTGTGGAGAAACGAAGGGAGAAATCTACCAAACGAGAAGTGGAAATATATTTTGAATTGTATGGTGAAATTACGATTTGAAAATTGCATCCAAACATGAAGCGCAAATAAACGGGTGGAAATATATTTTGAGAATATAACCAAACACAACCCTAGATTCTTCTATTAGCTTCTATTTCTTGCATGCTCCCTCCTAGATATTTTGAAGAATTCCGTAGGGTCGTAACAACACGCTCCCCTCGAGCCTAGAGACTTGCCAGAGTAGATGGAATTCGAAGCATTGTGACCTGTCAAACGGGAACTTTTTTTGATGACAGCATGTTTCTATAATTTAAAGTTTTAAAAAAAACATTATGTTGAAAGCGTGTTTACAGATTGCACTTTAACCTAATTGTTTAATTTAGGAATAAAATAAACACAAAAGAGTTAATGACCTAGCCATACATAACATAACCGTCTAAAAGGCTCAAGTTTACAAATGCTTTTCCTGTCTTTCCTTTTGTCACACTTTATTTAAATTTGATGCTTATCCCATCAGAATCTCCTCCATACGTGAAAACATATGACAGTGAATACACAACCAGACATTTTAACACATTTTGGTGGGTAGGTGGGTGACTAAATCCCTGTTAGCAGATAAAGCAGGTTTGGCATAAGTTCACTGAAGAAGGAAAATAACTACATTAACTGATTCAGAAAATCTGAATGTTAAATTCGACATTCATATCATGTAATCTATCTGTTTACAAAATGTTACAAACCCTTATTTATTTTTCCTGCACAAGCATGCATTTAAATGTTTTCTCAATGACAGTAGATACACCAATCGAACCCCTTTTCCAGAAGAGAATATGGGGTAGGTGGTACCGCAAAAAAAAAAAAAAAAAAAAAATGTAAAAGGAACTGTTGGGAGAAAAACAAGATGATTAAGGCCATTGTTGGCGATCTTAAGCGGTTGCCGCCATTGGAACTGATCTGTAGCAGGCTCTCTTTGCAGCACGTACAATATCCTCAATCTGTTCGATAGATGTCCAAAGCAAACACAGGGTGTTAGTCAATAATCTACATTATCAAAACTATGTGGTCTTAATCTAAATGAAACTGAGAACGGCAAATGAGCTATGAGCATAAGGTTATTTTACTTTCACACAACAATACAAATTACACATATATACCTGTTACCATTCATTGTTACACCACTGGAATTCTTAAGGTCACTTTCTAAATTTCAGTTAATCAGTACGAAATAAATGGCAAACAATTTGGGAGGAGTTTGAGGAATATTTCTTTCATAATTCATAATGTACTTTCATTTTCCAGTTTTAACAACAACAACAACAACAAAAACAAAAAATGAAAACCAGTGTGCACGAAGTACTTAAAAGGAAAGGCAAAGAGATTTCAAAACACAAACCTGTGGGACAGCCATCCTCTCAAGATTTGCAGCGTAAGGCATGGGAACATCTGCTCCAGTAATCCTCTCAACCGGTGCATCAAGATACTCAAAACTATCCTCTACAACAGATGCACTGTCAAAAGCAACAAACAAACTATTCAAATGCAGAAAGAAGAAAAGCATAATATGCGGCCAGCTCAAGCTTGCATGCACAAGAGAGACAGAGAGAGAGAATTTAATGAGAATTCATGCAAGTAAAAGATATTGACCAAATCTCTGCTCCAACACCATGTTGAGGGAATCCTTCTTCAACAGTTACAAGTCTGTTGGTTTTCCTGACAGAAGCATTGATTGTGGATCTATCAAGCGGACGAATTGAGCGCAGATTTATAATCTGTATCAAAAAGAGAAGAAATTATTTTTTTATTAATGATAATGGAATACTTTTAAACTTTGGTTTTGAAAATCCTTACAAGGAAACTACGTTTGAAATCTATGACTTACCTCAGCGCTAATTCCTTCCTTTGTAAGAATTTCAGCTGCCTGAACATAATACATGAGAGTTAATTCCAAATTGAAAGTCAAAATACTATACCCAAATCTAAATTAAAAACACTTGTGAAGAGAGAAAAGGAAAAGATAAAATTCTGCAATAAAAAAAAACATATAGGAGAAATCAACAGAAAATAAGCATAAAATTGATTTGAGCAAGCAGAAAGTTGAAGCAAAGACAGTTTCAGAGTCTTTGACCAATGGATGGGGTAGAATATAGGCAATATGATGGTTCCCTTACCTTCTACGTGGATGCAAACTTGTGACAAAATAAAGAATAAAGTTTTCATTATGTTTAAGCCAGAACATAAACCAGCCTTTGGGATGTAAAATATATCTCTTCTCACCATCCCCACGGGCCATAGCTAACGAGAAAAATTATGCATTTCGATTAGGGTCGTGTCCGTATGGGTAGAGCACTAAACTTTAGCATGCATTTGGACACTCTAGATTATGCTTTCCGACTGTCTACTGTCAAAGGTGCATTTCATCAACACTCACATCATAAGCTACCATATCTGAAGGCTAAGGCTCCAACTTGCAAGTAAAATGTTATTTATGTTTTACTTGTGGCACTGACAATGCCCATAGTAATTATCTTCTCTCTCTCTCTCTCCCCCACATACACACACACTGTGACCCAAACTTGTGGGAGGGAGGACTATGGATACACAGAAATGGCTGAGATATAGCAATTTCATATATTCATAGATATACAACAATTTCCACTCTTAGCAAGGAAAATGAAAAACAGATCATATGTATTATTAAAAAATAAAATTTATGGCATAGTTGACAGCCACACATAGGGTCCTACATTAGAAAGAATGACAAACCTTGAGAGCATAACCAACCATCTTCGAAAAGGCAGTAATGGTCACATCTTTTCCTTCACATTCTATCTGTCAAAAACTGTGAAGTGAGGAAGGATGACAAATGATGAAAAGAAACAACAAAACTGTCCTCAGAAAAAGTACCTTCGCTTTTCCTATTGGAAGACAGAAACTAGAATCAAGAACTTCTGCTGCAACAGAAAAGGACTCGCCATATCTGCAGGACACATCACATCAGTACCACTGAGCCTTCTGAGCAAAGTGAACTCATTAAAATCATAATGCACGTAAACCACTTACAGCAACTCATTTTCAAGGAAAACAATTGGGTCTGGATCCCTTATAGCAGTTTTTAGCAGGCCCCGAGCATCTTCTGATGAGTATGGAGCGAGCACCTTCAATCCTGGACATGAACCATACCATGATGCATAACACTGCACAAAACCACACTCTGAAGCTTTAAAAACTGGTGAATCTTTTTTAGAACAAGAATAAAAAATAAAATTACACCCAGTTTAGTTCCCAATTTTTTAGTGGGGGGACAACAATTAAAAAAATAACTAAAACTACCAAGTACACCATTAATTAAAGAAGCATGTTTCTAAGAAAAAAGCAAAGCCCAAAACACACCAATTTAATATTCATTCAATACATTTCCCCCTATATTTCAGCTTCTATTTCCTTTCTCAGGAACTAACATGTGATCTTATGCACTCAAGCTTGTCATTCAATACTACGTGCAAACCTGTACATTTAACCTACTTACTCTTTCTTGTTGCATTGGACGTGTAAATTTAGTATGAGAGAAATACCAAGTTCTCAATGTGCATTCCGAGCAAGGGCATTTCCTCCTCCATTGGTTTAACAAATTATCAAGTAAAAATAGAGCTTCAATAGATCATGCACTAGTGTACTTACAAGTACCAAAAAACATTAGGGTGTGTTTAATCGTATTCATTTTATGGCTTTTGTTCCGAAAAGATGAAAAGCAAAAACATAAAAAATGAACACGATACAAAACAGGCTCATTCTCAAATTAAATTCCACATAAATCTATCTTTCTAATGCATTGACCATAATTGCATACATAAAGAAACCAAAAAATACATTGAGAAAGGTTCAGAGTTTCTTCTAATTAATAAGAATGTAAAGACACTTTGAGACTTATATAAAGCAATCAGGCTAGGTAAGGTCTTTGATGTCATGAGTGGTGCGAATATGATGTACATCATCTGAGCTTAAAGGTAGTCTAATATGAATATCTATTGCTAATTAGAAATTCTAATAATTGTCAAGAAAAAACTTGTAGTTAAATGGCATGCGATCTCTTTGTACAGAAATAGCGGGTTGTCATTAACCAAACATGTGCAACCATCTACTGATTAGCTAGATAAATACAATAGATTTTGGAATTCTAAAACAAAGGCTGTGAGCCCAACAACTATCAAGTGGAATTTTTTATTCACAAAAAAGTGTCCATGGCAGTATGTTTATTTCTGACACATGTTAATTTGAACTTACTATGTCTCTGACAAATTTGATTTATACTTTATTTTAGAATATTTTACTAATTTCTAGATTTCTGGGGCATGGGATGTATTAATACTATTTGAGGTGGAAATTCTGTTACTGGCCTTTATAATTGGTCTAGGGTAGTTTTAGTTGCCAAAAAAGGTTAACATTCCTGTTTTGAAGTCAAGAGTCCTAGCCGAGAAGGAGAAGAAATAAGACCTTATATACATCTATGTAAGCTTTTAGTAAGATATGATTTTAGGGAATTTGAAATGTCATTTTTTTATTATGCTTAACCCATGCAAGGATGAAAATAAAGGACACTAGGAAAGAGTCCAAGAGCCTTTTTCTCCTTGACTTTCTTACCTAAAATCTTATAGTTGTTCAACTAGAAACAAGGCATTAAAAACCACTCCTTCAACCTTAAAAACCCTAGTTGTGAGCTCAATTCTTCTGTCTATCAAAGACCTAAAGCTAACAGCACAAAAAAGAGATGGGCCCCAAAGTTACATCTCTTGGATTATTGTTCATGGCCCCAGACATCCCTATTTCAGCCCCAAGACTCTAACATGCAAAAGTCCTAATCATCCCTCACCTTTCCCCCTTTTGGCCTTTAACCTCAAACATAAAACCTTAAATAACTGCTGTCCAGAACCCCCAGCAGCACAAATAATTGCAGCTATGTGCTTTGAAAAAATCAAGCCAATTCTAACTCTATCCATAGATGCCACCCTCCTATCTTTAAAAATCCTAAAGCCACAAACTTTTTATGAATTTTTTCCACCATAAAGCAGCCATAAGAGTCATTACTTTAATTGCTGTCCAACATAAGAAGATTGAGGACAAACATGTGAAAGTGCACTTTCTGGGAGGCTGTCACTTACAATTTTTTCTCTTTTTGATCCAGGGGGCCAATGATTTGTACAGTGAGAAGCAGCAGAGGTATGTCATAATTTTAGGATTAATTGGGAAAATCAGGCAGCACGTACAAGACTGAAGCATAACCATGTCTAACACTAAAAAACCCTCAGGATCAGAAGCTGCCTACATAGAAGAATAGAAAACGTACCTGGGAATGTTGGGCACCAACTCCAGCAGCAGCACCATTTGGTCCTCGAAAAACAATAGGTACAGATATCTGACCAGCAGACATGTAGTTTGACTTTGCAGCGGAATTAATAATGTGATCAATTGCCTGCAACAACATCCACAACCAAGCGCAGATAGTCACCAAAGCTAGTGACAAGAGATCATCCCTAGAGGAAAGAGAGAAGAAAATAGAAATTTTAAAAAAGACGTGCTTATTTGGGATTTACCATGCAATATAAGCATTTATGCACTGGTAACATTTCCAACAGATATGGGCCTCATTGAGGGAAACTCAATAAACAAACCAATTTTTCTCTTTTAAGATGATGGCCAAAGATATTTACAAAATCCTAATAAGTTTATTTCACACATCCAATTCGGCCATCACATCCTGGTGCTAAAGAGTAAAGGCATCTACTTCCAAGTGTCTCATATTGCACAGAAAGGCAACAGAAACACAAAATAGTGGACACAGTAATGAAATGTACCCCATCACACCACTTGCTACCACACCTGGATACTTCCGTACACAATTAATACAATATAACTAAGAAGATTTCAGCATAGGTTTGATAATTTGTATTCATCCATAGAAATTAGTACATATTGAAAGGAAAAACTCATGGAGACAAACTCTGACCTGCATGGCGAAGTTAAATGTCATAAATTCTACAACAGGCCTCAGACCGTAGTATGCAGCACCAACTCCAATCCCCGTAAAGCCAGCCTACAAAAATCATTATATTTGTGAAAAAATTATATATTTTAGTATTGTTACTAGAACCATTAAAACAGGAGAAGTGGAAGAACAACAAATTCAACAAAGTAAAATTTTAAAAGCAAAGAAAACAAAATTTCAAATATAAGGACCAACCTCTGTAATTGGAGTATCAACAACCCTCTCAGAACCATACTTCTCCAAAAGCCCTTTCGAGATCTAATACAAATTCAAATTTGAAGAACTTTTAGAGAAAGAAATGCATAAACGCTAGCATAACTTCAGAAAATGCGAGAGCTTTCAGGTCTCGCTAAGCATTTCTAACCTTGTAAGCACCCTGATATTCACCAACCTGCCCATAAAGAACAGAAAAAATAGTAATAATAAGTACGATAAAGCACCGATACAAAGAAAAGATATCAACAAAGCCTCAAAATATGCTTCTAATCAAGCTTATAAAACTTCTACAGTACCTCTTCACCCATCAAAAAGACTTTAGGATCTGCAGACATTTCTTCGTCAAGTGCAGAGTTTAAAGCGTCTCGCACTGTCATCTGCAGGCAATTGCCAGTTGCAACAACATTAGGCACATTAGACATGTATTAATTAAATTAGTAAAGAAAGATCATAATATGTATGCCAATTCCAGCTTTCTACAACAAGAGTTCCATTCAACAACATTCTCTGATGCAAAAACATGGGATTGGAGAGAGAGAGAGAGAGAATGTTCATGAGAACAAAGCCCTTAAAATCATCATAATGCACAACTTCCATTAGTCAATGTCAGAAATATTATAAAACAACTTTAACAAGTATCAACATCACAATATCCAATTACAGCTACCTTACTCATTACACAAAATCAAGAACAAGGGTATGAATGAGAAACAACTTGTCAAGAAAGCATATTAAGATAACGAATAAGGAAGTGATTGATGCTACAATAAAAGCCTTTTACATCTATTATATAAAGCATACAACTCAAAAGTTTTATCACACTTTTTTTGTTTTCCCAAAATACCTATAAAATTGGTAACTGCTAAAACTCCACATTCTGTATCTGCTAAACAGTTTTCAAATTCAATTGTCATTTGTTAAACCCCCCAAAAGTTTAAATGTACACTTAAAAACACATTGCATTTGCAATACACACCCTCTTTGGAGTGTGTACCATATGCCCTAGTCATGACGCTGATGTCTTTGGTTATGACCTATTGTGGTATTTGTTATGATTTGGTTATAACTTATTATAATGTTAGTTATGACCTATTGTGATTATTATTTTGGTTACGATCGAAAAGATTTTTTGTTATACCTTAGGTGGTATTTGGTTATACCCAATTTTTTTTTAGCTGTGCCTGAAAAAGATTTAGTTATGATATTTGTAGTAATCAACCCCACAAAATGTCATAACTTGTACATATTACACTCTTTTGAGAGCGTGTATAGTAGAATGACACATCTAAATTATATAAAACTTACAACTAAGTTGGTGAAGCTTTGTAGCATTTTCTTTGGATTTCCGAAAATGCCCACACAAGGAACAGCTACATAAAAGCATTAATGCCATACAAAGAACTTGATTAAGAACAACTAGTACACTTACAATTTAAGCACTTAACTACACACACATATCTAACATAAATAAAAACGTGAACTTTGTAAGAGGAGCTAATCTGAGCCCAATAAATTAATTAGGCCCAATAGTCCAAGGTTGGTGGGCCCGAATTTATTGCAAGTCCAAGATTGGTGGCCCAGATTTATCGCCATCAAACGGGCTGAATGGCTCTAAGCCTCGAAAGGATTCGGATCCACGAACTTAGAGACTTACTTGGGTCCAGACTCGAAAGGGTATTGAGCAAGCCTAGAGATCTGAGGCACTCGGACTCGAAAGGGTTCGGATCCACGAACCTAGAGGTCCGAAGCACTTGGCTTCGAACGGATTCAGACGCAATCTAGAAGTCGCTCCGTTAATGAGTCCCAGAACACTTGCGGGCTCGGAGCTTTCCGGGATCTACGCATCAGAACCATGGGCGTAATGGAGTTCAAACAAAAGACCCGATCCCGAGGACGATGAGTGGAGATAAATTCACTCTTCGGTTAAACTAGCCTATACCTGGGTTGAGGTGGCACGATTTAAGGGTCCCTAAGACTTGGCAATATTTGTGGCAGGGCGTTCTCTTAAACTACCCCTGACCCTTATACGGCAGGACGTCCTCTGGGACTACCCCTGACCCTTTGGGATGATTAGGGATCATTGGTTAGATGTGGCTAAGAAGAAGGGTTCGCCGAGAGGTTGATCTCCTCTTCGGGGCTTTACTCATCCTCGGAGAGGTCACCTACTCAGACAAGGTGGTTAGAGAGAATATTCCCTATGTGCCTTGCACATGGGTTCCATCCTACATCATGAAGTGCCTATAAATAGCACCCACCCATAGCTTTACAATGGATGAATTTTGGAGATATGACTCTTGGGAAAGAACTAATTTCCCATCTCCATTATCAAAGTGAAAGTGGGAGATCCATGGGAAAGCCTTGCCATTATCCTCTCTAACTATTTTGCCTTATTCTTCACCCAATTTCTTATCTCCATCATCTCCTTTCTTTTGTGTTCTTAAGTTGAGACTATTGAAGAATCTAAGCCTCTCATCATCTTCTAGGGAATTCGAAATTGTTCTTCAAGGATCTTCGAAGATTTTCGAATTTTCCAACGACGTTCTTGAACCCTCTCATACATTTGGTGACTTCGCTCGGGAGGCAGATTGGTTAATGGCCTCAACGAGATCTAGAGCCTAGACAACTCCGGCAAAAATGACAGATAATGAGACTCATCAACAAGGCTCTTCCAATGGTGGTGATGAGAGGACTCAAATTCAAGACTCACCTCTCATCCTTGAAGCTATTCAAGGATTCCAACGCACTCAACAAGAGATTCTCGCGACCCTTCAAAATCTCACCCACACCATGTTGGTGATGAGTTTGCATTTCACACCACCGGCAACAAATGGAGGTCAAATCGGCGCCGACAAGCATCAACAATTTCATGGTAATGTTGAAAATGGTCAAAACCATCAAGATCTACCCCGAATTATCCCTGAAGTTGTACAAAATGGTGTGCAAAATCAAGTGCTAGGAGAAACAAGTCATGGCCAACCTGTGGCCCATGGAGCGCAAAATCACGCACTTGAAGGATCGAGCCATGGTCTATCGGTGGTTGGAGGAGTTTCTGGCGCGATGAATGGTGTTCTAGCGAATGTGGAAGTTCAAGGAAGGCCTACAGAGATTTTTCTACAAAAGGGTGCTCCATCTATGCCTAATTTTGTTCCACCGATTGTAAATTCTACACATGTACCGAGTGGGTCTCCTTTGGCTCCGACGCCAAGTTTGCAAGTCCAACCCAGTATAGCCGTGGTGTGCAATGAACTTTATGGGACCCAATACAACGTCCCATCACCAAATGGCATGTTCATAGGTGCCGATGGCCAATATCATCATGTGTCTTCACTGATGGTGAATTCTTAACACCCAAATGGCCAAGTTGCTCCAAGCTCAGTCTTCGGGTCTACAAGTCAGGTTCTGGGAATACAACCATCAAGCTCTCTCTCTCAACAATTTCTCACTCTCGCCGATGTGCAAGTCATGTTCGATCTTGAACGGGGCAAGAGGACTTTACCCTCTTTGCTTGATCCGGATGTCAAGCCACCACACCCTATCAAGATGTTGAGTTATCCATACCCGGAGGGGTACACGGTGCTGAAGTTCATCAAATTCAATGGCAAGCAAGGAAATGCTCGAGAACATGTTGTTCGGTTCATCGAGACTTTGGGGATTCATGGTTCAAATCATGTCCTCCGACTGAGAGAATTCTCCAAGTCCCTCACCGACCGAGTATAGAGTTAGTACGTTAACTTGGCCCCAAACTCTGTTCGAAGTTGGGAGGAGATGGTCAACAAATTCCACGCCAAATTCTTTCAAGTGGCCGAGAAGGTGACCACACTTACCCTGTGTAAGGAAAAGTAGCAGGAGGGTGAAGACATTCTCGAATATGTGAAGAGGTTCCAAGACAAAGCCGTGGACTGTCATGAGGCTGTGGAGGAAGCTACTTGGTCCAAATCTATGTTGAAGGGTCATTGAACGGGTACAAGATGCTTCTTGTTAATCACAAGCTACCCACCTTCTTGGCACTAATTGAAGCATCTCGGAACATCAACGTACCTCAATCTCAGGAGATCGGGTTCGAGACTAGTTATAAAACTAGCTTCAAGTCATCCCGAAGACCTTCTGTCACTGCGGCTTCCGCGTCTTTTACACGAAAGTTGCAGGGGGAGGAATTTAGAGGTCAGAAGAGGAAAAACTGCGAAGATGACACTCCTTTTCCGTGTAGTGTTGAGGAGGTGAAGGCCTTAGTTAAAGAATGGGTGGCAGACGGAGAACTGAAGTTGCCTCGTATCGAAGAGCTTTTGCCAAAGAAGGACCGCGAGGGTCCTAATTATTGTTGTTTCCACCGATCACTAGGACATCCTACAGAAAAGTGCCGAACACTTAAGAAGATCTTTAGAAAGAAAGTCGAAGCCGATGAGCTAGAGTTCAAAGAATAAGGGTCCCAGGATATCTTAGAAGACGTGGCTATGATGTTGTATGACGGCCACAGCCCGAGCAGCTGGTGAAAGCTTTCCAAATGACCTTGTAACTCTAGAGGCAAATGTCAACATTCCGTAGAAGAATTCTATCTATGACATTTACAATTTATATTTACTGTATTATCCAAGAAGTTCTATTTTTCTTATGTTATGAAGAAATTTACTTCCTGCATATTATATATCTCCATTAGAAGTTATTTTCTCTGTATTGTATATCTTTATTGTGTTATGTTGCTTGAAACAGTTTTCAATTTTTGTTGCTCTTCATAGAAGAAAGAGGAATAGTAAACTCGGTTACCAACCTGAAGGGACTTTTCTTGATGTAGTAGAAGTGTACTCCCACTCAGAGGGGGACAACCTTTGCTTTCATTAGTTGCCAGAATAGTGTATGCTCCCACTCGGACCTCAAAAGAGCAGCCATTGCTTCCTTCAATGCAAGCTTCAAGGGTCTTTCTTGCAAAAGTGAGTTTTGCACCCACTCGGACCTCCGAAAAGCAGTCATTGCTTCCATCAATGCAAGCTTTGAGGGTCTTTCTTGCTGAAGTAGAGTGTGTGCTCCCACTCGAACTTCCGAAGAATAGCCCTTACTTCCATCAATACAAGCTTCGAGGGTCTTTCTTATTGAAGCAGAGTGTGTGTTCCCACTCGGACTTCCGAAGAATAGCCCTTGCTTCCATCAATGTGAGCTTCAAGGAATAGCATTTGCTTCCATTGATTGCCGAAGAAATGAGTGTACATCCACTTGGATTTTCAAGGAACATCTTTGTCTCCGCTCGGGTTTCTAGGGAACAATCTTTACTTCCGTTTGTACAAGCTTGATAAATTCGGTTACTAGCCAGGAGGTATCTTTCTTGCGGTTAGCAGCTAGAAGGGATCTTTTTTTTTTGGCTAAAAAAAAGAGTGTGCTTCCACCCAGACTTCCGAGGGACAGCCCTTGCTTCCATTTGGACTTCCAAGGAACAAACCTCGTTTCCATCAGTGCGAGCTTCAAGGATCTCTCTTGCTGAAGTAGAGTGTGTGCTCCCACTCAGACTTTCGAAGAACAGACCTCGCTTCCATCAATGCGAACCTCAAGGATCTTTCTTGCTAAAGTAGAGTGTGTTCTCCCACTCAGACTTTCGAAGAACAGCCCTCGAGACTCCGTGGCCTATCAGAAGGGATCTTCTTGCCAAAGAAGGGTGTGTGCTATTATTCAAACTCCTGAGGGACAGCCTTGCTTCCGTTTGGACTTCCGAGGGACAACTCTTGCTCTCATTAGTGCCGGTCTGAAGAACAGCCCTTGATTTCATCAATACATGCTCCAAGGATCTTTCTTTTCAAAGTAGAGTGGACTCTTACTCGAACTCCCGAGGGATAGCCTTTGCTTTCATTAGCTGCCGAAGTAGAAGTGCGCATCCACTCAAGACTTCCAAGGGACAGCCTTGTTTCTGCTCGGACTTCTGAGGGAGAGCCTTGTTTCCGCTCGAACTTCTGAAGGACAGCCTTGCTTCTGCTCGGACTTCTGAGAGACAATCTTTACTTCTATTGGTGCAAGCTTGGTAGACTCGGTTGCCTTCTAGAGGGATCTTTCTTGCCAAAGTAGGGTGTATACTACTTTCGGACTCCTAAGGGGCAGTTTTGCTCTCGTTCAGACTTCCGAAGTGTAGCCCTTGCTCTCATTAGTGAAGATTCTGAAGGCCTCGAGGTCGTAGATTTCGCACAAAAATTTATTTGCCTGAAATAGTAAAACCGACAAATGAGATGAGCAATATCAATTTCATATCCTGATTCAGGCATTATCGGAATGGGGCAACATCAACAAATAATAATGATCTATTTAAGCTACAACAATTTTATTACTCCGAACAAGTTCTTGAAAATGCAACAATCAATGTTTTGTCACTCCGGGCCGGTTCCTCTTAAGCCGACGTAAAGCTACAATGATTAAACAAATTTCGGCATCAACATTTTATTTCCTCCGAGTGTCCACAAAATCAGCACACATCAATACATGGTCTTATTCTCTGTTACATTAGTTTATTCTTCCAAGCGAAACATTCACCGAATATGGATATCGGGAATTCATTCATCAAGTATGTAAAGCTCAATATCGGGTTTCACTATTCTTGAAGCCACAGCAATCAATTATCCGTCAACAAGATTTATATACAATATGAGGAGCTCATTTTCTCAGGTTTTCGTTTGCAACAACATTTATTTTATTTTGCTCAAAAATTTCAAGATAAGCGAGTCTAACAAATTTTTCAGTAGCAACACTAACAAAACTCGAAGGATTCAAATTATCTCTCTCTACACCAATGGATTTTTGCAACATTAATACTCCATCTATCTCAGATTTATCAACACAAGGTTAAGCTCCAAAACTTGAATTTCGGGATTACATTTCTCATGCAAATCAAGATTCTATAAGAGTGGGCGTTATCTCAAGTTCAGAAGTTCAAAAATGCTTACCCACAAATTTATAGAAGAATTCCAAAATACTTACTCACATACTTATAGAAGCAATGAAGAGAATCATGACCAAAAGCGGCGTAGGTCGAGAATGGCGGACGAAACAGTGGGCGAGAAAGGAGATAGGCAAACCAACGCCGCGCTGAGTCAGCGACGTGGTCCGCGTTGATTAATTACGGCCGAAACTAGTGGGTGTGCAAACAAAACTAAGATTTGAGTGGCTCGAGCTCTAAAAATATCACCGAGATTGCATTAGGCAAGACCACACACGACACGTTGAGCGGGCTGCGTGTGTGGTTGGCACTGGACCGTCGAGGCCAGAGGAAGAGTTTCAGCACAGAGAGGCCGATGGTAGGCTGGTTTGGACTCGGCGCAAGGCATCAAGCGTGAAGGACAGGCCAACCAAAAGCGAACTGGGCTGGTGATAGCACGAGCTGGTGGCACAGCGTCAGTGGTGTCCGGAGCCGCGGCGTGAGCAGTGGGTCGGCTTCGCAGTGATGTTGCAGAGAGGTCGGGGGCGTCGGTGCTGGTCGGTGGAGTTGAGCTTCGGTGTGTCTAGGTCTCTGAGAAGTTGCGTCGTCACACTAACATGAAGCACCGATGGTGAGCAGCGGCTTGGGTCGCGATGCCCACGGCCGTCGGAGTTGGGGCAAGGCGATGGCAAGTCGGTGCTGCGGCGACAAGGTAGATGGCACTAGAAGGCAGAGGTGCAGCATCGACGGAACCAGGCACGTTGTGTTGATCAGGATGGTGTTCGGAAGGGCCACACACGTCGCGTTAAGTGGGCGACGTATGTGGATCGGTACTATTCAGTCGCGTCTGTGGCAGAGTCTGTAACACCAATAGCAACTTGGGTTCACAATGTTTGTAGCAAGCAGCGACCGTGACTCATCTTCAGTGATGCTGACAACGCCTGGAGCTGCGACGATGGCCGGCGTGCAAACGTCAGTGGTCTTCAGTAGGTGTACAACCAGCTGGTCGTGATAGCCTCTGTTTTGTTGGAGAAGAAAAAGGATGGGTTGGTCTCTGTAGAGAGAGAGAGTAGGCTGAGAAATGATTTCGGCGGCTGAGCAAAAGAAAAGTTTGTAAGGTTTAGGGTTCTGGACCCTTTCCTTAAATAGAAAAAAATGATGTGATGCATGGAATATACCTTCAGATATTCTGAACATATATATATATATATATATATAAGAGGCCTGTCGTATTTCTTTTTGACTAATTGGCTAAAAAAGTAAATCCCCAAACGGGGCCTTAGTTGGTGCCTTATTAATTATATGTCCAGGTTGGTTTGGTGGAGTATTAAACAATTCAAGTTTTCATTTTCTTTTCAAAAATAAAAAAAATAAAAAAAGTCTATGGCAAAAAATAAAAAATAAAAAAACAGGTCAGACTATTTCATGAGAGAGGAGTTTAATTCTTGATCATTCTTGGTTGATGGATTATTAAATATTTAAATTTTGATTTCTCTTTGAGAGAATAAATTAAAAGTATGAAGTGTGTTTGCCAAACATGGCATAAAGATAAAAGATTCTTTCTTATCATTACTAGTTGGAAATCTTATCCGTACATTATGGGTCATCAATCTTATCCAAAAGTCACATGAAGACCAAATATTTCCGAAGACGTAATGCGAAGCATAGCTGACAAGGTGAAACTATGCATGTCTGAGAAAACTATAATTTCTCATACACGCAAGGGGCAAACGTAAGAGGAGCTAATCTGAGCCCACTAAATTAATTAGGCCCAATAGTCCAAGGTTGGTGGGCCCGAATTTATCGCAAGTCCAAGATTGGTGGCCCAGATTTATCACCATCAAACGAGCTAAATAGCTCTAAGCCTCGAAAGGATTCGGATCCACGAACTTAGAGACTTACTTGGGTCCAGACTCGAAAGGATATTGAGCAAGCCTAGAGATCCGAAGCACTTGGACTCGAAAGGGTTCGGATCCACGAACCTAGAGGTCTGAAGCACTTGACTTCGAACGGATTCAGACGCAATCTAGAAGTCGCTCCGTTAATGAGTCCCAGAACACTTGCGAGCTCAGAGCTTTCCGGGATCTACGCACCAGAACCATGGGCGTAATGGAGTTTGAACAAAGGACCGGATCCCAAGGACAGTGAGTGGAGATAAATTCACTCTTTGGTTAAACTAGCCTATACCTGGGTCGAGGTGGCACGATCTAGGGGTTCCCTGAGACTTGGCAATATTTGCGACGGGGCGTTCTCTTGAACTACCCCTGACCCTTATGCGGCAGGACGTCCTCTGGGACTACCCCTGACCCTTTGGGATGACTGGGGATCATTGGTTAGGTGTGGCTAAGAAGAAGGGTTCGCCGAGAGGTTGATCTCCTCTTCAGGATTTTCCTCACTCGGAGAGGTCACCTCCTCGGACAAGGTGATTAGAGAGAATATTCCACATGTGCCTTGCACATGGGCTCCATCCAACATCATGAGATGCCTATAAATAGCACCCACCCATAGCTTTACAAGGAATAGATTTTGGAGAGATGACTCTTGGGAAAGAACTAATTTTCCATCTCCATTATCAATCTTGAGAGTAAAAGTGGGAGATCCATGGAAGAGCCTTGCCATTATCCTCTCTAACTATTTTGTCTTCTTCTTCACCCAATCTCTTTATCTCCATCATCTCCTTTATTTTATATTCTTAAGTTGAGACTATTGAAGAATCTAAGCCTTTCATCATCTTCTAGAGAATTTGAAATTTTCTTGAAGGATCTTCGAAGCTCTTCAAATTTTCCAACGACGTTCTTAAACCCTCTCATACAAACTTTTTTCATTTCCTCTAAATTAGAATATTGTTGGGAAGAGATAGTCACCTCTTTTGCTGTAGAAGAATAATTCCTCGAAGCATAAAGTAGGGATTGAGTTCGAATCCTCTGCAAAGTCTGTTCCACAAACTCACACAAATCAAATAACACTTGTCATAAAAAATAAATAATAAAATAATAAAAAAAATCAACTACACGAATAATCATTCATAAATCAACAAATTTAAACGAGATTAAGAATCAAAAATAAAAAGTTGAGCTTATACCGAAGCACTAATCCCTCCGCATACAATTCTTTGCCTGGCAATCCCCAACATCTTCGCTTCTTCTGACCTTAACACAAACCCTAATCAACCAAACTTAAATAAACAAGCAATCGATTTTGAGTCGAAATTTCAAAATTCCAAAATCAATATAGCTGAAAAAGGACAGATATGCGAGTGACTGAGAGTGAGTGAGAGAGAGAGAGAGTTGAGGAGAGTGAAAACCTAGAGGTTGGTGATGATGAAGAGGAGGTAGGTGCCGATCGATCTCTGTCGAAGATCTGATCGGGTAATAGCTCAGATTTGCTGACTTGTAAGCAGCGGCCCCATTGGGGTGACACGTATTCGCTTGATTTATTTTTGTCATAAAAAATCATCAACATAAAAATAAATAAGGATAAATTGTAAATTTAAAAATTATTAGCTTTGTTGGTTCTAGTTTTCAGAAAATATTTTTTAAAAAATTTTATTTTTTATATTTTAATATTTCCAATGAATTTTTTAAGTGATTTTTAAAAAAAATTTAGACACACCTAGCATAAATACATTTAAAAAGTATAATATCTATTAAAAAAATAAAAAAATATCAAAAAATATAAAAAAATACAAAAATTCAGTACATTTTTCATATTTTTGCGTACTTATTAATTTTTTAAAATATTTTTTCACAAATATTTTACTATTTAGATACATCAAGGTACGTCTAAAAAAGTAAAAAAACTACTTAAATTTGTAAAAATATTCACTAAAAAGATTACAAATATCCCTTGTCAGAATTTTTTATTTAACAAAATTAACTAAAAAAATGAAATTCATAATTGCTCTCATATACAATAATAAAATTACTTCAATTATTAATTAAAATATATTTATGATATTATTAAAAATTATTAATTGACTTAATAATTTATTAATAAAATGAATCATTTGTTATATAATAAAAAATTTGAAAGAGTATAATATAATTTTTAAAATTACAGAAATAATTTATATTTTAAATAAACTTTAAAATATGTATTTATAATTTTTTTTAAATAAAAATCTATTAAAATAGTGCAAAAATATGTTTCAGGTTTAGTTGTGATTTTTTTTTTAGGAGGGAGGGGAGGGGGCTGGTGGTTTTAGGAGAGCTTTGAGTAAAGAAAAAAAAATTGGGGACCTCACTTTTGTTTTTTAGCCCCACTCACCTACCCATATCTCTTCTTTTTTTTTTTAGCACCCTCCATTAATTCTTACTTCAGTAGCCCCTTTCACTTCCAGCAATCCCCTACCCTTCTCTTGGACAAGGGGTGCCTGCTGTACCTAAGCATAGCAGGGTGTGCTGTGCATGCAACACACACCAATAAAAAAAAAAAAAACAAAGAAAAAATTATATTAAAAAAAAAAAAAAACAAAACCATGGGTTAAAATGGCACAGCAGGCACCCCTTTTCCCCCTTCTCTTATAGCTCTTTTTGCAACTATCATCCCAATCAGGATCTTCTCTCTGATTTCTCTCGTTGATTCCCTACTTCTTAGGTATTAAGTTTACTTTTAGACTCAATTTCGATAATCCGAACCATTTACATTTTAAAATTTGTTAAGTATATCATACCTGTAAAAAATCAAGTTGATCGGATATCAGAAACTACATATTCGGATCATCAAACTAAAAATTATTTTTTTTTAAATTTAATAAATAGTTTTCCAAACAAATGCTTTTTAATATTCGATCAACTTAATTTTTTACAGATATGATATACTCAACAAATTTTAAAATGTGAACAGTTTCAAACATCAAAATTGGGCCCAATGGCCTAAAAAGTAAGGAGGCATGGAGAGAAATTAAGAAGAGGATCTTGATTCACTATCATGCCTCCCACTACATTCCAACTCTGACTTCCTCATTTGTAGCCACCCCACTCTTCATGCCGAATTCTACCTCTGACACCATTTCAAGCTCTCCCTGTATCCAATGCAAGCATTTCCCACTCTTATGCATTAACTCCCACAACTTTTCCGGTGCCCCTTACACAACATTTTTCTTCTTTATACAACCCTAATCATCGTTGCCTTCTTCCTTCAATCGCAAAATAGAATGGCGACCTCTGACAACCCACAACCGCAACACATGCAAGAGAAAGACAGAAGATGCTGATGAGACTAGGGCTGGGTAATGGCAGTGACAATTAGGAATGGGTTAAGGAGGGACATGTAGAGGTTGGAGAATGATGGACAGAGGTGAGAATGGACTAAGAAAAATCGTCAAAACATGGTGGATGGAATTGTGGTAGGTGGGGGTGTAAACACCCCATTTTTGACCGCCCGTAAGACTCAGGCACTTTGTCATATGCACTCGATGATGAAAATTACACTGTGTGATTCGGATTTTCAACAAAGGAATCCAAGGTTGAGCATTAAAACAATCCCAACACATCCTATTTACCTTGTTCATACCTCAAAGGTCCCTTTTTGAACATTGTGCCACCCTACACTGAGCCTAAAGCAGAGGAACAGGGGGAGCACATTGGGACTTGGCTGTGCCACATTGGGGCCCGGCTGTGCCTCATTGGGAACCGGTCGTGCCTTGTTGGCAATAAACATTGTTCTGGGCGGAAACTTGCCAGCTGTCTATTTTTGAAAATATTTTCGACCTATTTTGCTCAAATTCGATAAAGACGAGGTCATATCTCTATTTTGAGAGTTGAACAATTTCCAAAGAGCCTATACACTCACTTAAGAGCTCCTTCTTCCTTGACAAGCCATCTTTGAGCAAGCTTACCATCCTTGAGCTATATCCATACACAATACACACCCTCAAACCTTAACCTTAGAGCCTTGGTTGAACCTTGAGAATCATAATTCAACCTTAAGAGTGTGTTAGGATTGAGTTTGATTTGCAAACAAAGATTGTTCTCTTCAAGAGGTATAAGCTTGTCACCTTTGTTTTTGCTTCCATTTCAATCTATCTCTATCCATTTCTAGTGTTCTTGTGTTGTTTTGGATCTAGAGATACCAAAGGTAGAGAGGGCTAACACTCTTTCTTGTGCCTTAATTCATAGCTCATACCCTTTGTTTTTACACTCCTCTTCTTCTTGGTTTTCAAACTGATTTTCAGAGTTTAAAAGGGCTAAAAAACATGGTTTGAAGTCTCAAAAGTAGAGGGGTTAACCACATCTCCTTGTTCTTGTTTACGAGTTTGGTATATTATCTATCTTTTTGTGCTCTTTAACATAATTTTTGGCCACTTTTTTTGTATACTTTGGGGCTGTTTAGGGCTATACTAATTTATTTAATTTTTTTATGCTTTGAATATTTTACTTGTTGTGAGTCCTCATAGCTTCGGTTGTTTAGGCCATAGACACCGAGCCATTTGAGTTGATAGCTTTTATTTACTAGTTGTTTTATGTAAAGAGTATCGTTTTAATAATCAATCTCGAATAATAATTTATGCGCCATCCCTCATTTCTTCTTTTATTTTGCTTCAGAGTTATTTCAAAAGATTGGTGGCTATTCTAGGCATGGGAAAGAGACCTATGTTCAGTGGCTTAACTTCTACGGAGGTTCATCGTCAAGGTGTAGTCTCTCTTTTATGCCAAGAATCGCTTCTCATTTGACGTTTCTTCTCATTTAGTAGACTTAACTATCACTTTGGACAAATTGACTAAAGAATGGAAAGACTAATAATTTTGGCTTAAAATTAGTGAAACCGACATAAAGAATAGGGATTAGAATAGTTGGATTCGGCCGGACGTTATGCCGAGTCCATTGTGTCAAGAATCGTCACATACCAATTCATGACGTTTTGACAAGTCTTGAGATGTGTCTACCTCCCTTTTTAAATTTCCATGATAGGAGGGATGAGTGGTCGTATTCATTGCATTTATTAAATTTCTTGTCCAAACGTGCTCGAAATCATCAAGCAATCTACTTGCTATCGTTGATGGTTTCGGACTCGAAGTCATTCTTATTTTGAGTTCCCCATGACAAAGATGAGTAGAAGGGACAAATAGGGCCTCAAAAGGCTCTATCTCTACTGTTCTTACCTCAGAGCACAAAAACATTTTTTAGCATGAAATTAGGGCACGACCAGCTATTTTTAGACCCGGTCGGGTCTCATTTGGGGCCGGTCGGGCCCCAATGTTTGGTAAATAGTGAATTTTAGTAGAAATAAAAGGCAGTGGCTGAGGGTGAAACAGAGCAAGTCTGGGCAGATAGAACAGTTTCTGGACACTATGCATGCGATCGTTGAGCCTCATTGTTGCTTGTATTAATATTATAATTGTAATTATTATTGCTGTAAATAATTATTGTTGTAATTAGCATTGTTATAATATCCTTGTTGCATAAAATTAGATAGCTAGTTAAGTTAGAATTCATTGGAATATGTAATAAGTAGTTAGTTCATTAAGCTAATTAGTCTTCATTTGAATTTGTAATAGTTAATTAATTCGGACACTCGAACACCTATTCGAACCTTCTTATATGAGGGCAAAATTGTAATAAGTGTGTATGTCTTCCAACCCCCATTTCTTTATCCCTTTTATTTCTCCGCTTATGATGGTAGCATATAGCATCATGTTTTAATTAGCATTGTCCATGACTCGCATCCATTTGTCTTACATGCATGAGGGTTCAGCTCATCATACTAACCAATGTCAAAATTCTTTAATCAAATACGTGATTTATCCTATGTCTTGAATTGGTCAAATGCCATGCTAGTAGCCAAACTGGTTATTCACAAAATGTGTGCGTTGCATTAGTCATATTACATTGTTTAGGAGCATGCATTTTTTTTTTCCTCTCTAACCATTTTTTTTTTTTTTTTGGGTTACCTTAGAGTACTAGGTGAGCATTTCTTGCTTTAGCATATTATATGTATGTGGTTGTTGCCATGTCAAGTATGTTTTCCATGAGGCTAAATACTTAAGTGATATACTTGTTTGAATGTCAATGAATAGAGGCTAATTGCTTAAATTGGAATAAATTGATTAATGTGCATACCAACTCACTTTTTCAAGTGACGCATATTCAAACCAATTTTCAAACAAACATAAAATCAAAGTGTTCCAGTCTTTGCAAATTAGTCTATACTTGTGTGTATCGCATAGTAAGAAATAGCTAATAATTGGAACAAGAGCATATAATGTAAATAAGAATCACATCATGATTAGTGGAGGCTGATCTTTGATCTAGCGAGTGGGGTGCTTAATTCATGACCTTCCCCTCTCGTACCTAAGTTCTCGAGCCAAGACACTTTAGTCATGACAGATAAGTGGCCTTTGGCACAAAGTCTCGGGTTTCCTAAATTTTCCAAAAATATTTAGGTGACGACTTTGAAATCTGACAAAGCAGCCAATTTTTGGCATTTTGATTCAAAATTGATATTCCAA